ATGTCCCATGGATGACCAAGAAATCAGACAGATAAAGAACCCTGGGAATAAAATGTGAAAAAGGTTAATAAAGTGCTTCCTCTCCCAAAAAAAGAAAAAGGAACAAACAGCTACATCTTAGAGAATGTGCAGCCAGAGTGCTTCCTGGAGGCCAAGATGGTAAAGCTTTGTCTCACATCCTTTGACCGTGTTGCTAGGAGAGGCTGTTTCTTGGAGATGGATCTCACACTAGAAAGGTGGAGGTTGTTGAAAGAGGGAAACCTTCCTCCAGGTGGACTGACAGTGACTGTAGCAGTGGACTTGAGTTTATCAGACACTGTGAGGGTGACACACGATAGAACAGGGTTGAGATGTGTTGTCCGACGGCACCTGTCAGTAATGCCATTACGTGGACACTTTGTTAAGGAGTCTTAAAACCCTGTGCTCTAGCTCACGTCTGACCTTACAGGGCTCACACAGTGCTTTGCAGGAGCATAGTGAACCTCGAGAAAAATGATGAAGTCATCAGAGCTTCTAGGAGGTATAGATAAACAGAGCAGGGCTTTTATGTTGGTTTTAAACTATGGAGGTTTCAGATGCATACAGAAATAGAGAAAGGAATCGAGTGAACCCCCAGGTACTTCCTACCGCATCCTCTGTGTTTTTAAGCAAATCCCAAATAGCGTATCATTTCACTCATAAATGTTTTGGTATATACGGAAGCAGATTTTTAAATTCTTTTGTGAAAGTATTCATTTCCCCTCCCCCAGTAAATATTAATTGACCCCTTCGCTCTCTGTTAGGGACTCTCCTGAGCCCATGCGGTGTGTAAGATGAGCAGACTGTCTTCTGATTTATCTGTATGGACTGGTGACTTTCAGGGCTGCGTCTGCTGGTTGAAGCACATCAGTTGGTGTCCCATCAATTCCTGGGCCTGACTGTTTCTGTCAGTGCCTTCCGTGCAGCTTGGACTTCTTCCATTACCATTGGTTCTTGATCTTATTCTTCCTAAAGCTTCCTGAAACGGTTCTTTGTCAACCAGTGACTGTGTATTCCTTCCATCATTTTCTGATGCTTCCTACATCATCCACGATTTTGCCAGTAGAATCCATCATTATTACAGCTCGAGGCTTGAACTTGTACTTCCATTCTTCGAGCTTGAGCGATGCTGCGCGTGTTCTTCCCTTCTGGTTTTCTGACTCCAGTTCCTTGCACCTTCCATTCCAGGCTTTGCTTTGTCTTCTTGTACTGCTCTCTGAAATCCCCTCGGCTTTCTTACTTCAGTGTTCTCTCCACTGTTTGGGTTTCTTTTTGTTCTGAGCATGTTTCAGTATCTCTTCTGACATCCATTTTGGTCTTTTCTCTGTCTTTGTAATGACCTTTTGTGATAACATTGTCCTGGAAAGGTTAGCGAAAGAGAGGAAGACCCTCAGGGATGGACCGACACAGTGACTGACCACGGGCTTGGGTATGAAGATGGTGCTGATGGTGCAGGTTGGGCAAGTGTGTGACAAAATAATATGTATTTCTGTATGTCAATATTGGACATAAAGAAATAGGGGAAAAAATGCAACCGGTATAAATCCACAAGGCATAGGTGGGCTTTCTAGAATTGTTTTTAATAATTGTTATAATGTAATAATTTTAATAATTATATAATTTAATAATTTCTGTAATTGTTATTAATGTGCCATCAAATGATCTGCCACTCGTAGCATCTTGGTGCACAGTAGCTGAAAACTGCCTTGTCCTCAGCCAGTCTCACTGTCTCTGACACACCTACCCCATTACCCCAGTTACTGTGTCAGTCCGTCTCATCTGGAGTCTTCCTCTCTTGTGTTTTCTCTCTACCCTTCTAAGCATGATGTCCTTCTCCAAGGACTGGTGCCTCCAAGGCCACATGTCCAAAGTATTTGAGATGGAGCTTCAAAACCTAGCCTCCAAGGAGAAACTCGGTTTTACTCTCTCCAAGACAGACCTGTTTGTTCTCTTGGTAAATTCATGGTATGTTCAGTACTCTTCTCCAGCACCACAACTCAAAGGCATTGATTATTTTATCATCTTTAGTCATTGACCATCTCCAGTGCATAGCGAGTAATTGTGAAAACCATGGCCTGAATCAGGTGAACCTTAGTCTCTAAACTGACATCATTGCTCTTTAGCACTTTGGAGAGGTCTCTGATGGCAGACTGTCCAAAGCAATTTGTCTTTTGATTTCCTGATTGCTGGTGCCAAACATGTTGATTATGGAGCCAAGCAAGCTGAAATTGTTTACAACCTCAGAATCTCTTCTCCATCTATCATGGTGCTGCCAGTGACTGTGAAGATCACACAGATTGTGGCTAACCTGGAAAGGAATGGAAATCCCAGAACCCTTGATTATGCTCATGCAAAACTTAGACCTGGAAGCAGCCATCAGAACAGAGTAAGGAAACACTGGTTCAAAATCAGGAGTGTGTCAGATATGCATCCTGTTGCTATACTTTTTCAGTGTGTATGGGGAACAGATCACTCAGGAGGTGGTCTTTATGAGGAGGAATGTGGCCTCGGGATTGGAGGAAGACTCATCAACAGCCTGCATTTTGCTCAGAGTGAGGAGGACCTGAAGCGCTTGCTGCGGAGGTCAAGGACTGTAGTCTTCAATATGGACTGAAGTTCAACATTAAGAAGACAACATCAAGAAACATTTTCTCTAATGTTATTGTTAGGTGCCGTCGAGTCGAGTCAAATATGACTCATAGTGACCTTATAAACAAAAGATCTGAACCCAGTCCCTCCTGCACCATCCTCACACTTCCAGTCACCGTTGTCAGTCCACATGGTTGAGTGTCTTCCTCTCCTTTACTGACCCTCCACCCTTCCCAGCATCATGTCCCTCTCTAAGGAATAGCACCTTCTAGCAATATGTCCAAAGTATGTGAGGTGAAGCCTCATCATTCTTGCCTCCAGAGAGCACTCTGGCTGTCAAGTCCTATTAGTACAACTATCAGTCCTTCTCAGAGATGATGTCCTTGCTGTCCCCCAACAACTCGTCAGATCATTGGTCATTAGTGTTCAGCATCTCAAATCTGTTTCTGAAATGTTTTTTTTCATTTAGTTGGAATATACTCAAAGCCTTATTTTGATTCTCACGGACTTGTTTTTCTTTAATTTCAATTTGAACTTTCCCATGAGTAATTGATAGTCTGGCTGAGCTGGCAAGGGCCAGTACTTCGCACCTGAAAAGCAAAGAAGTAATATGGCGCTTGGAAGGTGAAGGGTGAGCAGTAGGTGTTTGTTTCCCCATCCAAGGGAGGTGAGTTGATCTCTCTGCAGGGCCTATCCCCAGTTCTGTGACGAATAAGGATGATAGAAGAAGTATCAGTGCCTTTGAGTTGTGCTGGAAAAGAGTGTTGAACTTACTGTGGATCACCAGGAGAACAAACAGGTCTGCCCTGGAGAGGATGGAACTAGTTTGCTCCCAGGAGGCAAGGATTTTGAAGCTCTGTTTCACATACTTTGGGCACGTGGCCAGGAGAGACCAGTCCTTAGAGAGGGACATCATGCTTTAGAAAGAACAGCGCAGGAGAGGAAACTCCAGGACGAGATGGACTGACTCAGTAATTGGAGCAATGGAATTAAGTCTGGTAGATGATGAGATTACCTCAGGACAGGGCAGCTTTCAGAGCTAATGTACAAGAAGGGTTGCTGTGAGTCGCAGGCAACTCGATGGCACATGAAAACACCAACTGATGGTCTGTTTCAAAGCCAGCCCTTGGCCTGGTTTTGACTGCTGATAATTTGAGTTTTTCCAGTATCTGTTTCCCCAGATGTCTATATGATTCAACATGAGGGAAGGTCGATGGATATAGTCTCCACTCATGGTTTTTGATTGGTTTTTTGTGTTGTTGTTGTTTTTTAAGTATTTACAGTGAATAAATCATTGATTTCGTAATATTCTGTCATGTGATCTGCCTCTTTTCTGTCACCAAGGCCATATTGCAGATTCTAGTCCTTCTTTGTTTCCCCTTTGTATTCCAGTCAGTGTGTTTTGATTGGGTGTTGAGTTAGCTTCATTCTCCTTCTGCAATGGCTGCAATCCTCCCCATCTTCACCTTTGTCCCGAGAGGTTAGTGTGTGTGTGTGTGTGTGTGTGTGTGTCGGAATGCTAGTTGGATTAAGGGGACTTGTCCCGTCGTGTCCCGTTCTCACCATCTTCTTCATTCTCAGCCGAGTGTTACAGTGACCTTCTAACCTAGCCTGTTGACTGTCTCCCTCGCGGCATGATGGCGTTTTCTAAGGCCTGGCCCCTCCTGATTCCATGCACACAGGAAGTGGGTGAAGTTTCCGCATCCATGTCTGTCAGGAGCCCTCAGGTTGATGTTCCATGGGGTACCCCACACTCCTCTCCAACACTATAGTTCAAAGACATTGAGTCTTCTTAGGTCTTCTCCAATGCTGTAGTCAGTGCTGGCTCTTAGAGCATCCTCCTGGGTTTCCAAGGCTGGAAGTGACGGCGGAGGAGATTGCCCATCTTTCTCCCATGGGGCTCTGGTGGAGTCACACCATGAGAGACGCACAGCCTTTGGGTTAAGCGGGCATCTCCCTCCCAGTAGATCCTCAGAGCTGCTCCCAGAGCTGCAGAGACATAGGTGAGTAAAACTTACACCCCCTCCTGGCATGAGACTCTGTTCTAGTAGCAACAGACTGTTTCTGTGGCGACCAGTGCTTAGCAATGGAAGTTGTTGTGTTGTGGGGTCTGACGCATACTTTACGTATGTGTTATGCAACTGAATCCGCAAGAGAACCTGGAAGGTAGTCGGGTCCCATTTCTCAGGCACTGAGACTTAGAAAGGTTGTGTGATGGGCCTGGCTGTATGGTCACGCCTGCAGTTTAATTCCAGATCTGCGTGACTCTAAACGTGTCGTCTTTCAGAAATGGTAGACGGTGGGTCGGGAGTCACTCTTGTAGTTTAATAGCTCTCTCTACCATAATACGCTTCACTGCAACTGCCGTATCTACAAAAAGACTTTAATCATTATTATCTGTCTGAATTATTTTGGGAAGTAAAGGAGATAATCCAACGCACAACATAGTGTCCATCATATACTGTCAGCACAAAGTGTCCAGTACATGTTCCCTGTAGCTGTTATGTGTATTATGAACACAACTGTGACTGTGGCTGGGTTTATTCAGGAAGAAATTGGGGAATGAAATGCAAAAAATATAAAAACGCAAAAAAATGGTGGGGAACAGAGTCCTGAGAATCACTAGCATTAAAGGATGAGGAGAGGAAACCCTGAAGGAATAACAAAATGACCTTTTGGGGTTTGTTGGGGTTTTTTCCCGACATACAATCCTGAGAATGTATAAATAATACCATCTTCTGTAAATTGTAGCCATAATTCTCCCACTAATTAAATAAAAGAAAATGGTGTATTCTGTTACACTTTGTTGAAGCTCATAGAGCCGATCTTGTCATCTAAGGTCCCTGGTGGGGCCAACAGTCTGTATTCGACTCCACTGGAAGGTTCGAGTTTGATACACCCAGCAGGTCGGTGGAGGAAAATTCATGGTCTGCTTTCATGAGGTTATAGGGTTACAGGTAGGAAAGCCCTGCAGGTTTGCTGGTAGCAGGAAGACCTGCTGGGACCCCTGAGACTGGCTCTGGGCCACTCTTTGAGCCTAATTCACCTCTTTGGTTCCACTTGCATCCAAATAATATACACTAAAGAGAACAGCAACAGCAGGGAGGGACTCATACAGAGACTGATGAACCATGAGTATAAGGCATGCAATATTTGCCGAGGGGTCAAGCCCAGACAGCAGGACAGGTAGGGTGGAAGGATGGAGAGACGTCAGGGTCTTGGGGGAGGAGGGAGTGGGCTGCAGTTATAATGTGGTGGTATAGTCACTGCCATCAAGCAAAACAGGGCCACTGCTTGAATGGGAAGGTCATTTGCTCTGTGAACTTTCACCCAAACCCCAATTAAAGTAAGGAACACCCTTATAGCTTCGGTTTTCTTTGTAGGGAGTTGACTGTGGCTTTGGAGTTTTTTCAGTGATAAGTATTCCAGCTAATGTGTTTTAAATTTGGTTATTTGGGGCAGCAATTTGTGTGCATAGGTTTTGTATTTGTGTGTGTGTATCATGTTGTGATTTTGTGTGAAGGTGTGTAGTGTTACTGTGCTGTTGTGTTGTTTGGTATTGTGTTGGATTTGATATTTTAAATTGTAGAGAAAGTAAATACAGCAAAACATGGGCCAATCCAGCACATACACCTCAATGATATTTCTTCAGTTATGCAGTCATTCTTATGACCCTTTTCCAGATCATTCCACTAAGTTATCTTAAAGCTACTTACCCCCAAGTCATTGGGCAGTGACTTATAGACTGTCAATCAAACTTTTGAATGAATAAGAAGAATCTCACACTTTATAAAAAGGGGAAACGTCACCAAATACCTTTACAAAATACATATTTTATCGGCTTTCAAACTAAAACAAACATGAACAGAATCAGAACAAACCTCAAACCCTGCCCCGCAGTTGGTTCCTCCTCTTAGCAGCCTCTGTTGTGCTTCTGAGACTGGTTGCCCCTCAGACCTGCTAGTGGATTTGAACCACTGGAGATGCACAGCCTGTTGATTAGCAAGGCAACGTTCTAGGAACGTGGAGATCGAGTTACTTTGTCACTACGTGAAGACAGATTTTAAGAACAAATTAACTCATTGCCGTGGAATGGGAACCCCTCCTCGCTGGCCCTTCTTTTGGTTTTCAGAGACTGGAAATCACGTGGGACCAAGATTGCGGTCTCCTTCCTCAGAGAGCTGCAGTCTTTGGGTTAATGCTGGAACTGCCTGTGCCACCAAGGGAAAAAGAGCTAAGGAGTAATACTCACAGTTAATCATGAATAAGATTGCTTTCATTTCAAACAAATTTTCAGAGAGAAGAGAAAACTTATTCGGTGAATAATCTTCCTCCAGATAGACCTGGAAGGCCCTTTTCTGTGTGCTCTCTGCTTCAACAGGCGATGGGGTAAGTTTTTTACATTCATCGGCATCAAATGCTACGTGTCTGAAACCTTGCTACTTTTCCAAGTGGGTAGGTGTAAGGTTAAGAACTGACAGGTACAGTCAGAATACACGTCTGGCAAAGTCTGTCAACTTTCCTAGGTCTAAAAGTTTCATTAATTATAAAATAAGGTAATTTTTATAATATCAGTAAGAGGATTTTGGGTTTTATATTTAAATAAGTACAATCTAAATTTCTGTGCAGTGAGAGCAAATGAACGGTAGGAAGTTAAGCCCCTTTTTCAGGCTGAACGTGACAGCATTACTGGTCTTTGGAATTAAGTTGGGAATTTGGTGGTATGTTTCAAATGTCCTGTTTCTTTACTCTCTTTAATGAGCTCTGGTGGCCACAAACTGCTCTATGGGAGAAAGATGGGCAGACTCCCCTGTGTGATTTCTACTCTGTGAAGAACCCCTGGAGAGTCAGCTATGAGTTGCTTCCAACTCAATGCCGGTGAATTAAGTGATTAGGACCTCTCGAGGAGTCGAGAATTTTTTTTTTTTTGAGTCGAGAATTTTTGAGTGTACACAAGATGAAGTGTGTTTTGATTCTTTGGTTAAGTCTTAATTGCTGACACCTAGAAGGAAAGTGGCCTGCTGTTCTCACTGTTTGTCTAAGCCACTTCCACGGGACACCTGAAGGAGAATTTGTAATGGGATTTCCAAGCGACTGTTGGCTCACCACTTTACCACTTCTGGCTCCCAGGCACTGTGAATCCGTCACCTCTTGAGAAGTATCTTCATTTAGAGTCATTTCTGTGCTGAAATGAGAACGGTGACCCAAATGAATGAGATTAGCACAGAGGGAAGCAGCAGGAGAAGCGCGGGAATTTCCAGAGCAAAATGGGTCAGGCAAGAGAGGAGAAATGGGTCGCTAACAGTCTAAAATTTTACATGACGTTGACAGAGGGCTGTTGGAAATGGAAGGGGTGGGAACAGAGGGGTGAGGGTGAACAAGGGGCAAATCACAGGGTGGCATAATTTGGTGGGTGGAGAGAGGGAGTAAAGGAAATAAGAAAGATGCATCGGGGAACCTGAAAATACCGGTTAATGGTGGGCATAGTTCAGTACTGGCTGCCTTTATAAAACACAGTGTATGGGAATGACTGTCTGAAACACAGTGTGAATGAGGGAAAGTGTGAAACAATCTATAACAATTTTGTATGGAAACCAATATAAAATAATTTTTTTAAAAAAGTTGTTTGCAGATATTTGTTTATTATTTTTCTTGTTCATAGGATTCTTCAACATTGTGCCAAGATGCAACTTTCTTTAAGCCATAACTATCGTATATGCTGTTGGAAGATGGTATGTTAAACTTATTAAAAGTGAGATATTTTTTTGTTTGTACTTAGTCTCCTGAATTTATACTGCCTTAAACTAAGCTGTACTTAGGAAATTTGGGGAATAGTAATCTGTCTGACTGACTAGAAGGCATCCATATTTGTTCCCATTCCAAAACAGGTACTCTAAAATGATGTGGACATTCTTAAACAATGTTATTATCACATGCAAGCAAAATACTGCTGAAGATCATTAAAAAATGGCTAGAACAAACCTAAAAAGATGGGGTGATGGTGGGCATAGATCAGTGATGATTGGTTTTATGAAATACAATGCATGGAAATAATCATAAGAAACACAATGTGAATGAAGGAATGTGGAAACAACATACATGAATGAAACACTATATATATATATATATACACACACACACACATACATACATATATATGTTTTATGCAAACCAATATTTTTTAAAAAAAATTAAAATAATTGGTTAGAACAGTACATAGAGAAATGCCAGCATTCAAGCTGAATTTAGAAGAAGCTGAGGCGGTGGCACAAGGAATATTTTTGCTGATGTCAGATGGGTCCTGGCTGAAAGCAAAGAATACCAGAAGAATTATCGGCAACATCATTGATATCACATGCAAGCAAGAGTCTGCTGAAAATTATCCAAAATGATTAGAACAGCACATCAACAGAGAACTGCCTAAAGTGCAGGCTGGATTTAGAAGACACAGTGGTACTAGGGATATTCTAGGTAATGTTGGCTGAAAGCAGAGAGTACCAAAGGAATGTCTAACTGTGTTTCATTGACTATGTAAAGACGTTTGACTGTGTGGATCACAGTGAAAAGCGGCTAACTCTGAGAAGAATGGGAATCCCAGACCACTTGATTGTGCTTATGTGAAATTTATACTTGGACCAGGAGGCAGTCAGCAGAATGGAGCAAGAAAACAGGGTTCAAAATTGGGAAGGATTTACACCAGGGCTGTGTCCTATCTCCATCCATGCCTTTCCAATCTATATGCAGAACAGATGATCTGGGAGGCTGGGCTCTGTGAGGAGGGATGTGGAATCAGGATTGGTGGGAGACATCCACAGTGTGCACTATTCATATGACACAACGCTGCTTGCTGAAACTCAGGAGACCTGAAGCGCTTGCTGCAGGTTAAGGACTGTAGTCTTAAATATAATAGCAAGAAAACAGAGATTCTCACCACTGGGCCGATTGGCAGCATCATGATAGATGGTAAAGAGATGGAGATTGTTAACGGTTTCAGTTTGCTTGGCTCCACAATCAACAGTCTTGGTACAAGCAGCTAGAAAATTAAAAGACCAATTGTTCTGTGAAAGTCTGCTGTCAGAGACCTCTCCAGAGTACTGAAAAGCAATGATGTCAGTCTGGAGATTAAGGTGTAACCTGATCCAGGCCATGGTCTTTGCAATTATTTGCTATGCATCAGAAGGCTGGACAAAGACTAGGGACAATAGGAGAATTGATGCCTTTGAGCTGTGGTGCTGGAGAAGAGTAGTGAATATATCATGGACTGCCTGGAGAACAAATAAATTCATCCTACAGAGGGTGAAATCAGGCTGCTCCTTGGAGTCTGTCTGACATACTTTGAACATGTTGCAAGGTGGGACCAGTCCGTGGGGAGGGATGTCATGCTGGGAAGTGTACAGGGACAGCACAAGAGAGGAAGACCCTCAATGAGATGGATTGATTCAGTGACTGAGGTACTGGGGGTAGGTGTGTCAGACAGTGAGATTGGTACAGGATAGAGCAGGGTTAGGGCTGTTGTACATAGGGTCGCTATGACTTTCAAGTGACTTAATGGCACATAGCAACAACAACAACAATAGAAGAATACTTCAACATCAGGCTTCTGTATCATACCTTGTTATACACAGTTGTTAGGTCTCTCCCCCCCCTTTTATATCCTGTAATGGAGGCAGGCAAAGCCAGGGATTGTTGCTTTATTGTTGCTGGTGGGTGCCCTTGAGTCGAGCCTAACTCACAGTAACCCCATTAACAGCAGATTGGAGCCTCGCTCCAGCGTGCACTGTCATCAGGATGTCCGTCATGCTCAGGCTCACTGTCACAGGCCCCATGTCCATCTGTTTCCTGGAGGAGCTTCCTCTGCCTCTGATCCTTCTTTCCCAGCATGTCTTTTCCCAGTGACTGGCCCTCCTCACAGCCTGCTGCTCTTTGGTGCCATTGAGTCCTCTTAGAGCAGAAAGAGGCCCTGTGGTTCTGCGCCTTCTTCATGGTGACTGCGGCGCTGGCGTTCCCATCAGCACTGACCCTTTACTTTCCCGCTTTGCTTCTACTTCTCCGGGCATGTCGTCCTTCTCCAGGGACTGGTCCCACCGGATAACATGCCTAAATGGCGTTAGGCGTTCCCGCCATCGTCACAGCTAAGGAGGAGTCTGACTGTACTTTTCCAAGGCACTTTTTTTGCTTTTCTAGCAGTGCATGGACTTTTCAGTGTCCTTCACTGTTAGGGCCATCCACTGCGTTGGTTCCATCGCATAGTGAGCCTGTGTAGAAAAGAGTAAAGCAGTGTCCAGCCCTGTGTTGTCCTCACAGTCGGAGCTCTATTGAGCCCATTCTGTCAGTCTGTCTCATTGAGGGCCTTCCTCCTTGTAACTGACCCTTTATGCCGACATAGTCTTTAGGGAATTGCAATGCTGACGCAAAGGCCAAGAAGTGGCCAGGTTCCTGGGGAGAAAGTTGGGCAGTCTCTTCCCATGATAACGTATAGCCTTACAGGTCAGAACCAATTTATCTGCAGTGAATTCAAGTTCTGACTTTGAGTCAGAACCAGGTAGAATGTGCAGTCCTTGGAGAAGGACACGATGCTTGGAAGGATGGAAGGTAGTTCTGGAGGAAGACCCTAGACTGTGGTAGTGGGGTCAGGTGTGTCAGAGACAGTGAGGTTGGCTCAGGATAGGGCAATGTTCGGAGCCAATGTTCTTAGGGTTACTATGAGTCGTCGACTAGATGGCACCTAAACGCAACAACAAACTAAGCAGAGATGTCCTTCTCTGGACCACCCGCACTCCGGACACTGGCCCCTCCGACCACCCGCGCT